CTCTGGCGAGGGGTTCGTACCGGGGGTGAAGGAGCGGGTGGGGGGCGGCTCCTGGCAGGGCCGAGCAGGTGATGCTGTGCCGGGGTGGGACCGTGTCCCTGCCCCCCCGCCCTGCTCCCTCACTGCGCTCCTCTCTGTCCCGTTCGCCTTGCCCTGTGCCAGGGCTGTGGCAGACCCGAGCGGCCTCTGCGGCGCGTCGTCCGCGAGACCCGCCTAGCCTCCCCGTAACTTCCTCCTGCTGATTTCCCTCTTCCAGGGCCTCAGGCAGTGGCTGCCCTGGAGCGGCTTCGTGTGCCCAGGGTGTGCAAAATGGTTTGGAACCCGTCCGGCCAAAGGTCACCATAGTCATGATTTGCATCAGTAAGTTTCAACTTCTGACTCTTGCCAGAATGCTGCTTTACATAGGTGATGCTTAAAAATACCTGTTTTCTCTCCTACGTTTGTTCTGCCGTCAGGATCCACAGCAACCTCTCCTCCATGTTAAAAAAGGAGTTGTTCATTAAGTCATGTATTTTCACGTAACTTCTTTGGGTCTGCGGCAATCATAGACCCACAGAATAGTTAGCATTGGAAGGGACCTTAAGATCATAATGATGATCTGAATAATAATAACAACAAACCTCATGATCCTCTTCCAGACAACTCTAGTGCTAAGCTGTTGCATTTCAGATCAAAGTATTAGAAGGAGTGTTTAATATTGTTACAAGAAACAAACTTTTAATGTTTTAATGCTAAATTTGCAATTAATCAATGTATGTTTGACTATCCAATGTATGAATAGTTCTGGATCATCCCAACTTGCATATGCATAAGATATATTTTCCATTTGAATGTTAAAAAGTAGCTGGATAGAAATGAGTATCGAACGTATTTGTGAGCTTTGTTCAATGCAGAGCAAAAGCACTATGGAGAATTACAAGCAATTAAAATTACTAGTAGTTCTTAACAGCAGTATTACTGGTTGAACCCTTTAACAGATATGTGTCAACAGCTATCTGAGAAGACTGCCAATGTGTTGAATCATTCTTTTCCTAAGATAAGTGATAAATATATTGTTAAAAAGTAAAAATGTATCCTAGAGACTTTTGAATGATGCTTACTTTTCTTCTTGCATGTATATCTGATAAAAACCACTTTAATAATAGATGATTGCCTGATGTGCTGTTCATCCGGGTGCTGTATCAGGAAATGGATTGGGACCAGTTTGACTTGAACCCTAAAGTAATTGCTGCCCTTAAGAAAGGTAACTTAGTTTGCCAATGTCTCACTAATAGATCTGTCAGCAAGCTGTCTTGCTTCTGTGGGTATAAGCATATAGATGTACATTAGCATTTTAGAGCTGTAATTATTTCATAAGCAAGTTCTTTGAGTAATTTGAAGTGATGGCTTTTGCCCGTGCTCCAATAATCATTTTCCAAACAATTTTATAGCATGTGTTGGTGCATTCAAAGTAAATGTTGCCTGCCCAGCTTACAAGAATGCAGAGTAGACAAACTAAGTAAATGAGTAGTAGGAAGTGGGAAGACTTTTACTGTTGTGCATAAGACTGTAACCTACCCCAGAGTATTTATAAAAATTCTTCTAATTTCAGCTGACATAAAATCAATAAAGGAGATTTTAAATCTTTCTGGAGCAGACTTGCAACGATTGATGAAACTGTCCAGTGCAGACATACAGTGCTTATTGAAAACAGTCTCTCACATGCTGAGGAGAAACAGTATGCTTACAGGTAATACAGTCAATACAGAAAACCCCATTCTATTTAAATCTTAAAATACCTCTAACTGGGAGAAAATATGTTTTTGGCTCCTCATTGACTCAGTAATGTGATTCTGAAAATGAAAAGGCAAGTGTTTTTATTACACTGTGGTGAATTAACTATCTGAAGGACAGCCCCTCTGAGACCTTAAAGGTACATGGAAGTGGGTGATTGTCACTCTTCAAGATCAAGCCTGCTTGAAACGGGACAAAATAATTCTCCAGTCTGAAAAGATTCATTAAAGGAACAAAATATTTCTGTTTTCTTTCTCCCTCTCTCTCTCCCCCACTAGGACTAAGACTAGTTGAAAAATTTACATATTAATAAACTACATAAACTGATTTGATATAAACACCTCACTCCAAACCAAGCAGGACCTAGTAGTTCCTTCCTCCTGTACAAATGCTTCATGGCAGCTCTATACCTAACATTTATTTTCTGATTTGCATATATATTCAGGCTTTGGCCAGGTGCCTGCTATGCTGTTTCATAGCCTGCTATGGCTTTCTGTTTCCGTGGTTGTTGTGCTTGAACCTTGCTGGCAGTATTTTCTGAGGGTATAGCTTCCCATAGAGACTCCTTGGAGGCAGAGGAAGGAAAAAAAGCTTTGGGAGGCAGAAAGGGCTCAGTGTAAACTCTCAGTTTTTGAAGAGGCATTCGGTTAGAAGGGCCTATGGGGAAAGGGAGGTGGAAAAACCAGGCTGAATCAGAAAAATTTCCCATCAACAAAGACAGCATCCCTTACAGATATACATCTGATGTACAGCTTCTATTTCGTATCATTGTGTGTTGGAAAGATACAAAATGAAACTTTTTTTTTTTCCCCTTTTTAATATTAAAAAAAAAAAATCCCAAACCCTGCAGCACTTCAGCTCTATCAAGATGAAGATCATCTCACCTCTCAGCACCAGAAGCTAAGCCTTGGATGTTCAGTACTAAATAACTTGTTAAGAGGTGGCATTCCTCTAGTGGGAATCACAGAAGTTGCTGGGGAAAGTTCTGCTGGGAAGACTCAGATTAGTTTACAGCTGTGCCTTTGTGTGCAGTATCCTTACAAATATGGTGGATTAGAGTCTGGTAAGTACTGAAATGTAAGTACTCGTTAATTTGACGTTTGGAGAAATATCCTGTCCTTAAGAACATCATGGAAGCATAGAATGGTTTGGGTTGGAAAGGACCTTAAGATCATTGAGTTCCAACCCCCTGCCATAGGGTATAGCTTCCACTAGACCAGGTTGCTCAAAGCCCCTGTGTCCAACCTGGCCTTGAACACTGCAGGGATGGGGCAGCCACAACTTCTCTGGGCAACCTGTGCCAGTGTCTCACCACCCTCACAGGGAAGAATTGCTTCCTAATGTCTCATCTAAATCTCCCCTCTGTCAGCTTAAAGCCATCGGTGCACTGAAGTAGAATGCATATATTCAGTGCATCTACTGACTTGCTGTAGACTGCTGTCTTACTGTAGTCTGTCTTACCCTTACAGCTTTAGTAGTAAGCTAGTTAGTTAGTAATTGTCATTACATTACAGAAACGCATGCTCTGCACATGTCCTGCATTACAGCGTAACTTAATACAAAATTACTGTTGGCTGTTGTCTACCTGCCTACTGCTGTGGTTAGACACATGCAAACAATATATGCAAAGCATTGCTGTCGTAAGTACTTACTGACTCCTCCAGCTATCAACCACAGCAAAACAGCTTGTCCCGTAATTTTCCACAGACATCTCAGGTATAGTGTATACCCTAGTTGGGGATTTTGAATTTCAAAGAATAATTAGTTTGATAATAATTACGGTGATTTATGGAATAAACCTGATGAAAATATAGTTGAAGACAGTTAACGTTGTTTTGTATAGGCTTGACAAAGTATACAGGTTTATTCTTTGAGTATCATTTTTTAACTGTCACATTAATCTAACTCCTAGTAATTATTGGGGTTTTTTTAGTGTTCTGTTTTAATAAGAAAGGAAATTTGTGTCACTTTTGAGAATTTGGTGTCCTGGTAGTTTTAGGTGTGTTTTGGCTGTGATCTTGTTCTTCCTTCTTGCAGCACTGGCTTTATTTTGGCAGCTCAGTGGTTTGTTGTGGGGATACTTAATTATTTCTAGTACCACATCCACCCATGTGGAAAAATCATGGACTGTCCAAATGAAGATCTTCCTTAAAGGGCTGTAATTAGCCTGTGGCTTTCATTACTTTGTTTCAATTTACGTCATTAATCAGAGCAGAAACATATATTTTGTTTGATTCCTTGGTATGTTGCTGATAACTGCTGCAAATAGTTTGAATGCAAATACATTTTTATTCATGCCCCAACACTGGTTCCCAATTTATATTGAAAGAAAGAAACCAGAACAGAGTAGAGAAGAAGGTGCCCAGCATCCTAGTGGCACTCTGGTCTCTTCTGCCAGACCATAGTCTTCCTTGTAGGGCTACAAAATGTAAAGGTTTTTTGTTACTTGTGTTTGCAGATGATTCTTGTTTCTTATGCATCTGGTACTTGGCGCTAGGATTGCTTTGTTGTGTCTGTCCCACATCTACCCACTCCTAAGTGTTTCATGGAAGATAGATAGGCTAGAATGGCCTGGCCATCGTATCAGTGCTCCTGTGAGAGACTCAGAGTGTTTTGGAAGGGCTGAGAGGACAGAACGTTTGAGGATTATGAAGGTATAGAAGGTGGAAATACCCTGCTGCTGGAGTTGGACAGCTAAGGGAGTGGTGGAATCCTAATTCTTGCAATTCTTTACTCTCAGTGTGGTTTCTTGCCATATGTTAGAAGGCATGCAGTCATAGCAGCAGATACTGTTTACATAGCACATAGAAAATGAAACTCGATTTTGCTGCAGTCTATAAATAAGGGTTTATGTTGAGTCTCTTACGAGAAACACAGGAACTAAAAGCTTATGTTAAGTATGAGAAGTTTTACTCTTTAGAAAACTTGAGAACAACAACAGTGCTTAGTCACTATCAAGATAGTCTAGCACTACCAATAGGAGATTAATCTTGGTGCTAAAACATTGCTACAGATTTAAAATTATGCTGGGTCAGGTGGGGTTTTTGGGAGGGGGTTGTTTGTTTTCTTTTGTTGTTGGGTTCTGGTTCTTTGTGTGTTTGGTTGTTTGTTTTTAGTGCTAGAAACTTCCCTTCTCGTAGGTGGTGATGTTGAAATACATTTCTTTAGACAGTATAGATTTATTGTGTATTTCCTTCTTTTGATTTAGTGTTAATCTTGTTTACGATTCTCAGTGCTAGGAGGTTGGCAGCAAACAGAAATTAGGACATGCTTTGCCTCCAGGTTCTCTTTCTGCCATTCTAAGAATGTCAGTTATAGTCATTTGCGTGTTGTCTGAATTTCTTTTATATTCATAAGTAATGCATGAATATAACATGAGAAATTCGTATCCATATTAGAATTCTGAATTAGAAAATCTGCTGCTGATTCTTAGTAACAGGCTGGTTTGGTGCATGACAGATCAGGTTCACAGGACTCAAAATTTGTCCTTCATTGAGGGTGGGTTTTTTTGGTGTGTTTTGTTTTTTGTTTGTTTTGCTTTGGGGTGGTTTTTGGTCAACAGCCAGCATAGCACTTCTGTCAGTTTAACTGAGAGCACTGGGATTTGATGCAATTGCTGATTTCTGTTCAGTTTTTGTGGGGAAAGATGTTTATATGGTTACTGAGTACAACTGACTCATTAGGAGCGTCTCTCAGCTCCTTTCTTAAAAGTGGTAACTACCCTGACTCTTGACTCATTAGTGTTGACAGTTTCCTAATAAACTGTAAACAGTACAATGCTATAGGCTTTTCTGTTTGCGTTGTACTACTCTTCTCTTACTATTTAGGCTATGGCAATTCATTTATTTTTAAAGATACATGCATATTAAGTGCTTTTGCCTCATAATTAGGCATCGGCCTTTAATATTGAGTTTAGTTATTTGTCAATCTTTTCTAGCCATTGTAACTTTGCTATGAAGCATTTCCTGTATTTTTAATGCATAGGTGTGTATTCGCCTTAATCAAACATTGAAGTGTGACTCAAACTGAAGAGCACAAACAGAAGCTGAAGAGGCTTGACAAAGGTCCAGTAGGAGAGAGTGCTATTCCCATTGTACTGTGCAACTCAAATTTTAAGCCTAGGCAAAGCTCATCTGGTATATTTTATGTGGTTTAACTCTTAAAAGTTCAAGATGCAGATTACACAATTGTTTTGTGAAATGAGCAGCACTTCAAGAAAAACAAAAAGGTTGTCCCACTGTATTTTGGAGAAATCACAAATGGAACAGTTATACAATATCTGCTGTAGTAGCTTTAACGGATGTCAAAGAAGCATTACAGAAGAGTGCAAGGTTGGCAGGTGACTGAATGCCAGTATTTACAAAACTAAACTGAGGAAATACTCCATGAAGTAGAACTCTTCTTAAGAAGGAATTCTTTTTGGTGGTTGTTTTTTTTGGTTTTTGATTTTTTAAAACAAGTGTTTCACTAAAAAAAAATTAACCTGACCAGATGAATTCATTTAACTTTAAAATTGCTGTCATGGTTTTACAAAGAGGATAGTGTATATCTGTTTATCAGGAATTTTAAATCTAGGCTGCTAGACCAGTGGAGCAGAGAGGACCAGATTTTTGCTTCTCCAGCTTTTCGTCTTTCCCTCCAGGTATTACCACTTTAGGATTACCTTGTTAGCCTTGGTTTTCTTGTTCATCCTGTATAAACATGAAACCAGGCCACAATTGCATATATGTTTGTAACACAGTAAGATTGCCTGACCGTTTTATACTCTTCTGCTTTTGCCTTATGCTTTTTCCTGTGGGTGCTAGTGATATAGATAGCAGTAGCCTGGAGAGCATGAAGAAGGACTACAGAGCCCTGGGAGTGGTGGCTGGGGGGCTCTGGAGCTCAGATAGTTTTTTCATCGATTCTCCAGGATAAAGGGGAGGACCTTAAAGCCAAGTGCATTTGGCAGGTTAGAACAATGGTGTCGTAGTCAGGGG